AAGACTTGTGACAGTGAAAACAAGCTACAGGGTATAACTAGCTGGGTGTGGATGGTGGCAAACGGTTAGAAAGGATTTATAGTGCAGCTACTGGTGTGAATGCAGCCTAAATGTCAGACCGTGATAACGTCACGGACTGAGAGACTGTTCTGCCCAGACCACTATTTGGACCTCTGCTCGATGAACAATTTACTCACCACACCTTACATTCTAATCCATTACCCCTGACCTATGTTATTGGATGCAGTCTGTCTGCATCTGGGGTTGTACTCTGAGGCAGCGTTGCAAAAAATCTCTTTAACGCATTTCCTCATGGTGACTGCCTCCACTGCTTTGCACATTTGTGTTGTATACCGTTTTACATATCTGCCATGACATTGTGTAAATCCCTGCTATGTTGAGGAAAACATGAGCAGGGACAGTAATGCAAGTCCTAGGCTTAAGCAGCACCCTGTCCCTATGCACAAATGTAAACAATGGGTTCCTTGCCAGAAAAGGCCAACAGGTCGGACATTGGCTTTGCAGAGGGGGTGGCTTCTGTTTGCATTATAAGCACATGGTTCTCTACCCATTGTTTACAATTTTTCTTACAGAGATTGCATACCTGAGGGTGTCAAACTAGAAATGCAACTAAAACCTCTGATTTTAATGCATACTGTTGGCAGGGCTACTTGTTTGGTTGCAGGCTGGCTGGCAGGCTGAGGCCGGGGAATTTTTGTGTTTTGTATACCTGAAGGTGTAACTTGGAAAATTGCCATGTATTTTATTTATACATTTAAAGGACTATGAACGTTTTACACACTGTATGATTGTACAAAGGTAAACTGTAACCTTTATTATACAAAAGAAAGGGTAACTATAAAAAAATAAAATAAACAGTCAAAGTATGAATTATAAAAATGCTTTGGCCATATCAGGTTGTGTTGCTTGTTTGAATCACATATAATTATTTCCGCAAATGCAAAAAAAAAAATCTTTGTTTACAAATAATGGTAATAACATATCAGTAGAATGTAGACTAGAATACACAAGACTGTGTCTTTGAAATTCCCTTCGGACCCAGATTGTCTACACTCAGTGGAAATGATTCCTATACAAGGCACAGTGGTCCATGCCAGGTTTATAGTGACAACTGTGATTTCTTTAAGTCGGTTTAGTATCACAGCTATTTACCTACTGCTGCCCCCTCTTACAGCTAACTGCAAAGCCAGTGTTATATCAAAGAAAGGATCCTCAGCATCCCTTTAGATGCCTACAGTAAAAGTGTACATGGATGTTGCTGTATGTACAAACCCACAAGATACGGTTGTCCTTGTCTTATGTAAATGGCTGCACTATGAAACTAGTAGGAGGATGGTGGTTACAGCCCTGCAGTTATTCAGTTATTCCTCAGAGGCGATTGCTCTAAGGATCGGAGATCTCTATGTGCAATGAAGGGCTTGTGGAACTTTTAATTCTTTTCCCTTAACATTTCTGCTGAATGAGAAGTAATTATAGTGTCTGTGTTATAGAGGTACCAATGAGAGTTGGAGAACTGTACAGTTATAAAATGAATAGTTTTCCGTGCGTGCTTGAGAAGTTTCCAACCATATTTTCATGTTATGTTTGCCCTGTGAGATGTTTTAGGGATTCTGTGATTTAGGACACAATGTGATATCAGCATATTAATTTTGTTATTTAAGTAAAACAACCAGCAATTAAAGCATGGGTTAGGGTCTTGGGCAGGCTCCCACCTGCAATTGCAAAAGTGTATAAAAAAACCTATTCATACTATTTCTGTGTTTGGGGAGGACCCAGAAGAGCCTTTGGGGTCATTATAAGCAGTGGCGGAACTACCTCCATAGCGACCCATGCGGGCGCTGTGGGGCCGCCACAGAGGGGGACCAGGTCAGGAGCAAGATTGTAAGCTTCCCGGCCGGGTCCTGGGATAGGAGCGCACACAGCGGCTGCCCTGGGCACAGCAATGTGGAGGGTGAGGGGAGCGTGCCGGTGGCCGCTGCCGGCCGGACAGTGGCCGGTGAACAGAACACATGCAGCCGTACTGGGGCTTTGGCCATGAGGATGCACAGAGCAGCAGCCTGATCAGAGAGATCCACTACTGGCTGTGCTGCGAAGAACTTAATCTGATGGGGGGAGATCTCTGCTGCATTTTGTGTGTGGGCGGGGGGTAATTTCTGTCGCATGTGGGGGGGATTTCTGTCTGCTGCATGCCGGGGAGATCTAAAGCATGTCAGGGTGAACTATTGCCTGTAGGGGAGATTTGTTGCCACAGCAACAATATGGTTGCCGTCAAAGGGCTAGGGTCTATGGTGGGCTATGCGTGTTCCAGTGTTCTATCAAAGTTTGTGACTGCATTAGAATGTGTGACCGGTCACATGGTCACACATTTTAACGTAATCCCGCCCAGTTTTTTGGCGGTGGAATGTGTGACTCGTCACACATTTTAATGTAATGATGCCCACTTTTTCGGTGGTGGATTATGTGACCGGCAAAAGGTGAAGAATTCCAATGTTTTCTCAGCTGTTCCAGATCGGCATCGCAGATCGTATATGTAGGAGAACCGATCTGCCGTTGAACAGCTGATCGGTCGTGAAATGTCACTTTTATCAGACTTTGTGCGTGTGATCTCACAAAGTCAAGATTTTGCTATGGGGCCCTGTGATTTCTAGTTACGTCCCTGATTATAAGCCATCTATAACTAAAAAAGTATGCTCCCTTCTGAGTTTTGAGTGCTACTTGATGAGATCGAACTGCGGACAGTGATGTAATCTAGTACCCCGAATCAGTAAGAAATACTAGAGCAAGTATCTAGTTGAAACACAAAGGGGGTTATTCACAAAGCTGCCGAAGGCAGCCAAGTGAATAACCCAGCCGAAGTGAAGTGAGCCGAACGCTGTTTGGCTATTCACTTCAGTCTTATTCGGCTGATTTCAGCCGTACACCGACTAAAATCAGCTGTACATTGGCTTCCTTCAGCTGCCTTCGGTCAGCCGATCGAACATCTGGATCAGTTGAGCCAAAGCTTCGGCAGCTGAGACCCTCGGCGTGTGCGCCCCCGCTGAGACCCTGGGCGTGTGCGCCCCCTCTGAGACCTTCCATCCAAGATATCAGGCCGGCAACCCGGAGCACAGCTGCAACACAAAGTATGTAGAAAATTCATATACTATTATTCTACATTGCTGTATAATGTATTACTGGGATTTGTAGTCCTCTATAGCTGATGGTATTAGTCTGCATTGCTATATAATGTATTGCTAGTATTTTAGTTCTCTATAGCTGGTATTATTTTGCATTGTTATATAATGTATTGCTGGGATTTGTAGTCCCTCTACAGCTTGAAATCAATATTTGTAAAACATCATTAATAATATATTTAATGGCATATTCCTTTTTTTTATTAGATTAGAATAGTCATGATAGGATACATTTTTTAAGTAACTGCAAAAAATAAGTAGCTCTTGGACTTTTTAAATACCTCCTTTCCAAATAATATTTGATTTGCACAATACTAGGTTACCAACAATTAACATTTTTAAAAGACACCAGGAATCTCGCTCTCTCTCTCTCTTATTCTCCCTCTCTCTCTCTTTCTCTCGCTCACTCTCATTCTCTTTCTCGCTCTCATTCTCTCTCTCTCTCTCTTTTATTTTCTAAGAGAATAAAGATGAAACCCATATGAGCAAGTGCTCCATTTTTGGGTAAAAGTCTTTGTAGAGCAGAAGATTGCCTCTTGTTTTATTAATGAATAACATTTCTTTATCTAAGTCCTGGAAAGAAACATTAGGAAATTGTCGTTTTTCCACATCTACAATAAGCCATATCATATCCGATCAGTGTGGAAAGAAAAAAACTCAGTAAAAGTGACCAAATCCAGCCCTTAGCAGAGTCCTAAAGTGAACAACTGATCTGCAGCAAAGACAGTCTGGCAGGGACCAGCAAGAAGCATGCACATCTAAAGGGATGCCAGAGATGCGTCCTTTGATATAACACAGGAGCTCTTGACTCCTCCAAGTCATTGAGCAGCTAGCAGCGCTGGAGACAGGAGGAGGTAACCGACATCAGCAGGGAAGCTCAGCTCTGCTTCTCCCTCCCCATCACGTCCTGTCCTCTTCTTCACCCTGTGCATTGTAGCTTCAGGCATCTGTGATAAAATCATGGAAACTCCTGTTTTTTTCCCCATTTTCATCTGTGGCTTTGTTCTTCACTATTGAGCATTTTGTGTGTCTCTTTAGTTGAGTCCTGTATCAGCAGCCCTGTGTATGGCACAAGTGCATAGAGATCAGTCTGTCGGCGAGGCTTGGATGGCTGGCCGCTGCGATGATCTAATTCTCATCTAGAGTCTGGAAGGACGGAGCTGTCAGGAATGTGGTCTATGATGCCTCTCTTCGCAAATGCCTGCAGGTTGTTATTAATGCTCCGAGCAAAACTTGGGCAGCGCTGATTCAACTCGCTGAGGAAGAGCCTAGTGTGTCTAGAGATGAGCAGATCCTTGTGCTGTGGATGATATTGGTCCTGGTTGGGTTTTGGATAACTGTCGTTTGTTTCCATTGAACGGTGCAGACTGTATAAACAACGTGCCTTGGGAACTAAGCTACTTTTGCCCTGGTCAGGATTTTGTCAGCAGCCTACAGGGGTGGTCTTGCTCTGCCTCCTCTCAGGTGTTGTCTGGATTAACTAAGAAAACTCTACAAAGAGGAATACACAGCCCATAACTTTTTCTATCCAAACTTTCAATAGCTGCCTTTTCCACGGCTTCAAACACAGCTGAAGGATTTGGGATTTTTTAGATGCTCAGTTCATTCTGTTCTCATGGCCAGATTCTCCCTTTAAGGATTATAAGAAAATTAATCACTCCAGTGCGATAACAGCTCCGCAGCGCTATATTAAAAGATTGATGCATTGGTTAAATTGCCACTGTCCAGTTTCTCGCACGTCCGGCCCCTGCGTAGCGTCCGGCTCGGTCATGTGATTGCTTACAGCACTAAGCGGAGCGCAAAAACATTGCTATGGTATTGCTTCTGCATTCCTTTTGAAACAAGGCAACATGCCAGAATTTAAATAATCGCAAGGGAAGAAGAAGAAGCTATGAGATGTAATGCTGGTGCTGATGTGTTGTATCCTTTAGGTCATTCACATAGTGAACAATATGCATAGGGGAGCTGGTGTCTCAAATTATTGGTAAATGTAATCTGTTGGAAAAGGAGTATACAGAGAGTGCCATTGCAGCTGAACTACAAGAAAGCTTGCCATAGGAGCTGGACACTGCTTTTGTGGCTCCTGAAACCAAGGTGCCAGATACTCACTATGACTGCCAGGAGAAGATGCCCAGGGCTGTTGTGGAGCTTCTCTCACTACCATGGCCACTATGACAACTGCTACATCTACTGCTGCCTTCTGATTCTCATCACTGCCAGGGGTAAGTGATATCCAACAGCAAACAGACAGTAATAATCTTCACAATGTATGCATGGCATGCAACTGTAGCAAGGGCTATGAATCACATGCTGACTAGAAGCTACAGTGATGCTTCTAAAATAAAGCATTCTAGAGTTGTTTCCATTTAAATTCAGTACGTTCGCTGAAATACATGTAAGGGTACCGCTAGAGGTGTGGTTAGGTTTTGTTGGTGCTTTGTGATTCTAGTAAATGATGATGTCCCTCAGGCAGGATGCTCAGGTCTACCACTTAATGAAGAAGAACATACTGTTGTTCGTATTAGTTACACAAATGTAATTCATGTTTGGTTATAAGTCTCCTCTGGTTCAATGCATGTGTCTGCTGTTAACACTGGTCCAACTTGCAACTGGTTGTGATCTGATGTTTTATTGAATCCGCAGCATTGTTGCTCATAGATCATCTGGCTGGACCGAGGATGTTCCTGTCTCTTTTATGAGCAGTACTTACAAATGTCATAGGTGGCATGAAGCTTTTCTGGTAAAGGTGTGACATATTCTGCTTGGTCTTCAAAAAACCCCTGGGCACTTCACTCTGACACGGATGTGTATTGTGAGATGTCACATACATGCTGTTCTTTCTGTAATTGTTGCCCCCCTGTGGATCTCTTTTAACTCTTTTGTGCGTTCTAGATCCAGAGGCTAAAGAAAAGCATGACAGCATCATGGGACATAATGTGGAGATGCAGATACTAATTAAATAGAAATTCAGTGGATGTGTCTCAGCATAGGGATTTGTGCACTGTTGAGCTTTGTCTCTTTGCATTCCCAGTGCTTGCTAATGTTATTTAAAGAAGCGAAGCGTGTGTAGCATTGCATACTAATAGAAAAGTAAAGAGTTAATGCGATTACAAGGTCCATTTGTTGCATGATTGAAATGCAAAATGCAATACAGCTGGAAGAGTAGGGCAAACAGTTGGAGGGATACTGAAATGTAAAATGCATAGGTTTTCTCATATACTTGTAGTACCGGGCTGATCAATATTTAGTAACCTCTAGGTATGTTATGTCTACATTCTATAGACATTTTTATTTAATGCAAAGAGCTGTCCAAAGGGATGCAGCACCCCATGGCAACCAGTTAGAAATGATCTTTGACATCTTATCGTGGACAAATCACAAGCTGATTTCTGATTGGTTAATGGCTTACTGCACACCATTGTTTTTCCACTTACCAAATAGACCGAATTGTTTTTCGATAAATGCTGTCCATTTTTACCTTTAGGAGACCATCAGCACTGTGCTTTTCTTAACAGTAAAGCGTTACATCTGTAGACTATTCCAAGTTGTATTGCTTTGACACAGACATGAATAGGAATCACTTTTATTGTCACACCAGCATGGGGGGCAATCATTGCATGTGGCATTTTTGGAACTTGATTGCCCTCCTTCACGCTCGTGTGACAGAGTGATCACCATTTATGTCAATGCTGAGCTGATGAAGCCTAGCAGATGGGAAGAACTGTACATTTTCTATTTACAGTAGAATCGTCTATGTAATAACATCCTTAAAATATATGCCTGCTGTCATCTCAGTCAAATAGGGTGAATCTATTTTGGCTTTATTGCTCTGATTTTTACATTCCCCAGCAGACATCTTACAATGTTTGTTTTTTTTACTAAAAGGTAATTTTATTACACCAATGCCTGTTGCAGAATGTGTTTCTTTTAGCACAGTCTGTTTGTGCTATGGCATCTGGTTGTTTATTTCACTTGGAAAATGTAAATGACTTCTCAAAATGACAGTGTATTTGTCGTTCAATGCTAAATCCACTTCAACGTAGATGGTCAGGGAGGACGCTGCCTCTCTAGGGAGAGGCGTGGGTTTTGAGTTCTGTATATGATAAAGAGCATAGACATGATCATCTGTCGTTTTTGCTGATAAGACAAAAAATAATACAATAAAAAGGCTAACACGTAGGCAATTTTTATATACTGTGCTTTTAATATGCCTGTGCTTGTGTTAGGTGTAGCTCCACTCTTAAATCTTTTCTGCTGTTTACAGTAGAACCAATTTCTACATTGGAACCTATTACACTGCATTTATATATTTCTTTTGTGGGCGAAGAATACTTAATCTGCTTGCAGAAATTACTTCTGGTGGGGATTCAATCCAGGAGCACTGTGCTGCAAATCTCACACCCAGTGTCTGCCACCAAATGTGCCCACAGACATAAGACAGTTGCTGCACAACTCTTCTGCGGAATGATCAAGCCATAGACATAAACTAGCGAGCATGTTTATACCTTATGCAATCACCTCCAGCACTGGCATTAGAGACTGTCCAGGATAGTGCACTCAATGGGGATTGATTGTTCTCTCCTGCATTTGTTTTTACGGATAAGGGTATTAAGAGTTGGATTAGGCAACAGTTATGTTCTGTTACATACCTTACAGGTGGCCAACCATTAGGGCTGAGCTGACATCGTTTCATATTCAAGCGTGCTGAGATCTGCTTAATCTTTAATGCAAATTGACTAACATCCAACACTTTATTCTCTATTAGGAAAAGGATTAGTGCCTCATGAGCAGAGATTTTCCAGTATGCTGAAGACACTATGGTGCCCTTGTTGTTTTCTTTGCAATAGCACTATCTTATTAAATACGTTTACATGGGATAGCTTATGCTCGATAACCCCAAGTGCCAAAACAAGTATGCATTATTTTAAATACCGATAACCAAATTTGTATAGCAAGTTAAGTAATGCTACACAAAAGTCCTCATTTATATTTTCTGTCTTTAGGATGTTCTGTGTGATTTTAACAATAGCGTTTTATTAACTTAAATTTTTTGCTTATTCTATTCTTCACTTTGCTGTGGTTTGTGTCTGTGCTTACTATTTAGTTTGCTGGCACCTACGTGTGCAAATAACGCAGCTTCTGGAGTCACTTTGTCAGCTATCCATTGTCTACCACTAGCAATGCACCGGTATTAATGCCGGTATTGATGCTGATACCAAGTATTTGGACGAGTACTTGCCCAAATGTTCCCGATGCCTATCCCTATACTGTATTGTCGCCTGGCTTCCTGATTGGTTGGGAAGCCAGCTCCATGCACCCTCGTCACCAGGTAGCATGGAGCTGGCTTCACAGCCAATAAAGAATTTGCCATGAGTTCTGCTTTAAGACATATGCTACTATGTAAATGGGGATGGAAGATGTGTACCTAACAGAATTATATTGTAACTGAAGAGTGCTGTGTCATCTGTGCATGCTCAATGTTGACCAGTAATGTGACTGAACATAAGGTTCCAGGAAATAATGAGCATGCATGAGCCATGGAACATGACATCCATTTAATTCATAATTAAGGAAATAATAATTTTGTATGCACTTTTGATTCAGATTGTAAAATTTAAAGGAGAACTATGGGGTCAGTGTTTTTCCCCATAGTTCTCCTTAGGGTAACGGGAGGACACAAACTAGCGTCCTCCCGTTACCCTAAGCTCAGTATACCGCAAGCTACAGCTCGCGATATACTGAGACGCCGGAGCGGATCCCGACGTAGATGACGGGATCCGCCCAGCTGCGTGAGTGACAGCTGGCTCTGCCTATCTAGAGGCAGAGCCAGCTGTACCCGCCCCCTCCCCCGTCCGTTTCGCCAGTCAGCGCTGGCAGATCGGAGCGGGGAGAGGGGAATCCAGCCCCTCCCCCTGTCACGGCAGAGAGCCGTGACAGGATCGAGAGGCGAGCGAACCCGGTATGTGTTCGCTCACTTCCCGATCTACTGAGCCGACCTGTGACAGTCTCATTATCACAGGTCGGCTAGAACTATGAGGTGAGTGAAAAGCACTCACCTCATAGTTCTCCTTTAATTTAGATTTACATACAATTAGGGATGCACCGATACCAAGTACCGGACTCGGTACAAATAAAGATACTTTTTGAGCTCCAAGACTAGACTAGAGAAAAACTCAAAAGTTAGGAGGCAGCAGTCATTTGTAAGGAACACACGGAGCTCCTGGGATTTGTACATCTCTGTTTTAATGTACGATTTTTGTTTTTATAAACATATATAAAAGGATGTACCGATACCATTTTGCAAGTACAAGTACTGATAAACTGTGACAGTTTTTCTAAAACAATATCGACTAATGATTTCAGGACAGTGGTGGAGCGCCAGAGCCAGGTCCCGGCTGCAACCCTGGTAGTTCTCATGAAAATGCCAAATATCGGCACTGGTATCGGTGCATCCGTACCTACAATTATGTAGTGCCAGGATCTACCTGATAGGATATAACTAGAATTTTTTAATTAGAGATTGCAACATATATGGCCAGATATTGCTGAACAGCAGCGTGTTTGGCAAGACCCCCAAAAAATGTTCACGCACATAAGACATATTTATTAGCTATGCTTTCTAAAATTGCTAGGAATACAATAGGACATTTGAAAATCCTTAGTGATTTGGTTACTCATTGTTCATTATAATTACATGATGAGTTGAATACCTACTTTAGCTAATATACAGCTCACTGAGCCCATAAACATTCACTCTTGTAGGATATGAATGTGACTGTCAAAGTAGAATACTTGGCCCTATAGGAGAAGACTAGTAGGCAATATATAGAATTGTTTTCAAAAGTTTGCATACCCTTGGAGAATTGGTAATATATGTACCATTTGTAAAGAAAACATGAGTGAGCATGCAAAACACATTTATTTCTTATGGGATTCTTCCCATATTTAACTGCTGGTCATAACAGAATGGCACAATCATAAAACAAAACATGGCAAAAAATGAAATTACTCCTTTTTAAAAGTCTGCATACCCTTAGTTCTTAATACTGTGTATTGCCCCCTTTTAGAATAAATTACAGCGTGCAGTCTTTTGTAATCATTGTCTGTGAGCCCCAAATTCTTGCAGATGATATACGTCTTGGCAAAATGCCTCTAGGTCATGCAAAGTATGTGGTTGTCTTTGTTCAACTGCATGTTTTAGATCTCCCCAGAGGGTTCGATG